CAAAGCAACATAGTAATAGTAATCATAATATGATACCAATAAGAGGAAAGTAGTAGAGAAGATGAGAAGGATAATAGCAGTAATACTACATCCATACAACATGGGTAAAAACAATACTATGGGAATTAGGTGTTCAGCAGAATGATGGCCAGAGAGAAAAACTGTCTCTGAGTCTAGTTGCTTTGGCATTCAGTACCCTATAGCGCCATCCTGAGGGGAGGATTTGAAACAGTTTATGTCCAGGATGTGAGAGGGTCTACAGATATTTGCTCAGCCCTTTTTCCGACCTGTGCAATCTACAGGTCTTTGATGGAAGGCAGGCTGGTTGCAATTGTTTTTTCTGCAGTCTTAACTATCAGTTGAAGTCTGTCCCTCCCCTGCTGTACCAAGCCAGACAGTTATAGATGCACAAATGACAGACTCAATAATTCATCTGTAAAACTGTCTCAGCAGCTCCTGGGGCAGTCTGAACGTTCTGCGTTGATGCAAGAAGAGCATTCTTTGTTGTGCCTTTTTTTATGATGGTTCTAATGCAGGGCTGTCCAAACTTGGGAACTTTAAGACTTGTGGACTTCAACTCCCAGAATTCCCCAGCCTAATTTACACTCTTGTAATCCCTTCCTCTGCAATCTCTCCACTTAGATCGGAGGTCTTCAAATTCCCGCCTGGGGAATTCTGGGAGTTGAAGTCCACAAGTCTTAAAGTTTCCAAGTTTGGACACCCCTGTTCTAATGTTAGGTGTCTATTTTAAATCCTAAGAGATTACAGGACCCCAAAACTTGAAGGATTCTACTCCCGATACTGAAAAGAACATCTACTTGACTCTCTTGTAGACTACATCATGATTAGACATCAAGGCCACAGTCAACGCACTTGAGCATCACAACTGCTGTGATTTTAGAGTAAACATGCAGATGGGCCAAGGCAGATGGCTCAGCCCACTGCAACCCACATCTTATGCCCATGATGGCAAACCTATGGCATGTGTGGCAGAGGTGGCATGCAGGGCCCCCTCTGTGGGCGCATGTGCCATCGCCAGCTGCTCTTCTACTTTCTGGCACGCACATGTGTGCCAGCCGGCAGGTCTTCATGTGTGTGCCGGAGTCCCAGGAACCCAAAGACCAGCTGGCTGGTGCGCATGCAGTCTTTGCACCTCGTCTTCAAGTTTCCGGTGCTGTAGTGTGCGCAAAGACCACCTGGCCGGTGCGTATGCATGTGCCGGGAACCTGGAGACCACATGCAGACCAGTCAGCTCGTCTTAAAGTTTCCAGAGCTCTGGTGTACAGACACATTCCGGTTTGGCCACTTGGTGCTGAAAAGTTTCATCATCCCTGTCCTGTCAGCCGGCCATAATTTCTTACCTTATAAATTTGTGAGCCAGATGTTCCACAAAGTAATAGATTTCACTCCAGTGGTGTAGGACACTTCCTGATCTGGAAAAAAAGAGAGCGCATGCCAGAGAATATTGACTTGGGTCATTTTACACTGTCTTTTTAAAAGTGTTTGGCAATTGTTGCGTGGGCGACACCCAATTTTGCCATGGTTGTTAAGTGAATCAGAGTTTTTAACTGAATTCAGCTTTCCCCATAGATTTTGCTTGTTGGAAGCCAGCTGGGAAGGTTACAAAAGCTAATCACATCACCCTGGTGATGTCCAGGGTGAATTCTGATAACAGAAAAAGACTCAAAAGTAATTGTATGAAATTCCTTTTCATACTGGCACCCCCAGTGGGTCTCCTTGGTGAGCTTGCCTTCAGAAGTTGTGA